ACTTGCCAGATCGGACGGGATGGCGTATTTTCAACGTGGTATGGTCGTACACATTAATTGAAAGGAAATAGAAAAGTAAGAACCGAAAATACAGACAAAAAATTACAAAAAAAAACAAAGAAAAAACAGAAACAGCTCCAATAAGAGAAGATACCTGATCTTAGAGCTACAACACAAACAGAGCATTTGATCTGATTTTTCAAAAAAAGTGCGGGAAAGAAAATTATCATTATGATTTTCTCAGATTTTGAAGTGAGAATGGGTCAGTGAACGTCCTCCTCTTGTGAACTGATGTGGGGGTTTGCAGTTCAATCAATCAATGGTAGTTTTCCTGAGAAGCTTGTCATTCATCTGGTCTACTCATTTTCAGAGTTGATTGAGAAGTATTCGATAAATGTAGAGTTACACTCGCATGTATCGAGACGGCGTTTTGCCTGGAACCTCTCGAAGGAAGTAGGAAAATTATTTTCCGTTTTTGAAGCGTGATTTTGTTAATATAAATTATTTTTATTCGTACTGTTCATTCCAGATGCCATAATTCATTTTATACGAACGCAAATGACGTCGGGGATTTGAAAACCGTAATGGAAGTTGCGGAAGAATTCTCTCAAATGCTGGATGCATTTGAGGGAACAGAAGAAAAAAACAATTGGAAAATTTTAAATTTTAATATTTTTTCAAAAATTATCTATATATCCCGATTGTAGATTGTTGTTGAATGAAATTTTGAAACACTGTAGCCATGTTACAAACGGATTATCACTACGGTATAACTCACTCAACAATCACTATTAATAACTCAAAACGGGCTATGGAAGAACCTTGCGCATACTTTGTGCATAAATGCTCTAGAAAATCGATCTTGGACTCTTGTGTCTTTCAACAAGTTATATGAAATTTTCAATTATCAAGAAGGTTTTATATCGAGGATCGGACGGTAACTCTCATTGGAAAGAAACAAGTCAACTTACATTACCAAAAGGACAGAATACTTTGTCATTTAAAGCGGTGAGTGAACTTCGATTGACGTTGTGATTGCGATTCATGGTTGTTCTCTAAATGTTATCGTTTATTTTCATAGTATTGATCAGCGTCCCCGTAGTATACGTTCTTAATTTTAAACTACATTTTTCAGCCATCACTCATAATTTTTGCTGGTTGCTTGGGTGTTTTCGTTTACGCGCAGTTCCAAGAAACAGTTAATCCAAACTCTACCTGGGGAGGTCTGTTCGAACCATTTGAATGATTGTATATCTCTTTTGTTCTTCAGTTTTGTATAGACGACTTGTGACTGATCCTTTGAAATGGCTGGGTGCGGACAAGACGGAGGGGCAACCAATCCCGGGCCCATCCTCTCATCTGAAGTGAGTTCTCTGAAACAAAAATTAAAATACAGAATAATAGGTAGCGGAGTTAATTGGTGAACCTGCTCCAGAGACGAAAGATTTCTATTTCCAACAGACCATGATGCGCATCAAAGATCCAAGAAAGAGCCTTCCTTTCTATACCAAAGTTCTGGGGATGAGGTTCTGAAAACAAACTAACATAATACAACCAATTGCTTTCGGATTACTAAAACAGCTCGATTTCCCAAACAATAAGTTCTCCTTGTTCTTTATGGGATACAAAGATGCTGGAGAAATCCCGCAAGACGATCTTGAAGCGCGTAGATTTGCTCTGAGCACTCATTCTACCGTTGAGCTTACCCAGTGAGTTTCCAATTGTAATAGATTTTATAATCCCGACAAACTCAGCAATTGGGGGACGGAATACAATGCTGAGTTCTCATATCACAATGGAAATTCAGATCCAAGAGGATTCGGTATGCTACATTTTTCCTCAGATTACGCTATATGAATGATATAAGGTCACATTGGTGTTGTTGTTCCTGACGTGTATAAGGCGTGCGAACGTTTTGAGTCACTGGGTGTTCGATTCATCAAAAGACCGGACGATGGTAGCATGAAAGGATTGGCGTTCATTCAGGATCCTGATGGTTATTGGATTGAAATTTTCAATCCGAGCAATATTTGTTAATTATAGAAGAAATGAATCTTTATATTTATTTGTTTTCGTGGATTTTCATATCAGTCCGTTTATCAAACCAACGTATTTGATAATTTTCATGATAAGCTTCAGTGCCTCGTTTCTATATTCCCTCGTAACCCTCCCTATGGTGAAGTATGTGACCTTTCGTCATTTCAAAGAAATGCAAGCGGGAGTTTCTTAGTTTAAATTTTGAAACTATTCGTATCGATTTTTAGTAGTGTATGCAGTAGTATTGACTGGCACTTTCATCAGACTGAGCAACTTTTTGTCATCTTTTTGTCTAATGTCAATATATCACAATACTTCGCTATAGTCAAGTTGATTCGCACCTCTGAAATAAGTCTGTTATAGATGTTAAGAACCGTACTCTCTCGTGGTCTTCAGCAGGTTCGCTCTGCCTCAACTCCAGCAGGACTCAGAGATGTTTCTCCCAAATATACTCAGGTTCTTGTAAATATGATTGTTGCAATTATCATTCCCATCAGCTCTTCATCAACAATGAGTTCGTGAACAGCGTTAGCGGAAAGACGTTCGAGACTTATAATCCTGCCACTGGCAAATTGATCACTAATGTCCAAGAAGGAGACAAAGCTGATGTTGATAAGGCTGTTCAAGTACGAATTAGTTCACAGAAACACTTATAATAATTACCTCAGGCTGCTGCACAAGCTTTCAGACTTGGTGCTCCATGGCGTCGTATGGATGCTGCACAAAGAGGTGTCTTGCTCAATAAGTTAGCTGATCTAATGGAGCGTGATCGTGTTATCCTTGCGGTAAGGAACGCTATGTGTTCTTCGTCAACGTAACCATTCTTCAGTCTCTGGAAACCTTGGATAATGGTAAACCATACAATGTTGCTTACCATGGTGACCTTGCTCTCTCAATCGCTTGTCTCAGGTACAACACAAACTCCTATGCTTTATAACGTTCTGCTTCAGATATTACGCCGGATGGGCTGATAAGAATCACGGTAAAACTATTCCCGTAGCTGGTGACCACTTCACTTATACCCGCCACGAACCAGTTGGAGTCTGCGGTCAAATCATTCCAGTATGATATTTCTCACTGATCACAGTATATAAATGGATTTAGTGGAACTTCCCTCTTCTCATGCAAGCATGGAAATTGGGCCCTGCTTTGGCTATGGGAAATACTGTTGTTATGAAAGTTGCTGAACAAACCCCTCTGTCTGCACTCCATGTTGCTAGTCTTATTAAGGAGGTATCTGTTCTGCAAGTTGTGTAGTCGTTGTCTATTGTTCAGGCTGGATTCCCGGAAGGTGTTGTTAATATCATCCCAGGAATGGGACCAACTGCTGGACACGCTATTTCTAGTCATCCTGGTATCGACAAAGTTGCGTTCACTGGATCAACTGAAGTAGGTAGACTCGTAATGAAAGCTGCCGCCGAGAGCAACATCAAGAAGCAAGTGAAAGTGGTTTTTATAACTAACGTGAGCTTTGTAGAGTTACTCTTGAACTAGGAGGAAAAAGTCCCAATATTATCTTCGCAGATGCTGATGGTAAACAATTTCATTTTCTCAAAAAATACTACGCTAATCATTACAGTTGCTCAAGCCGCTCAACAGGCTCACCATGGATTGTTCTTCAATCAAGGTCAATGCTGTTGTGCTGGATCTCGTACTTTCGTTGAAGGAAAGGTACTAAAAGTATCTCGATGGTTTTACAAAGTTTCACTAATAGATCTATGATGAATTTGTTGCACGCTCTAAAGAACTCGCTGAAAAGATGGTCATTGGAGACCCATTCGACTTAAAGACAACTCACGGTCCTCAAGTTGATCAAAATCAAGTCAAAACCGTTTTGCGTTACATTGAGCAAGGAAAGAAGGAAGGCGCACAGTTGGTCACTGGTAATTGACGTATCGTCGCCCAGTTTAACATTATAAGTTATTAGGTGGAGACACATGGGGCTCAGAAGGAAACTTCGTCAAGCCAACTGTTTTTGCTAACGTGCATGATCAAATGACCATTGCCCAGGAAGAAGTAAGTGAACTAATGCGCAATATTAAACCAAATATATACAGATCTTTGGACCTGTGATGAGTATCATTCGTTTTGATACCACTGATGATCTCATTGAGAAAGCCAATAATACTATTTATGGATTAGCTGCTGCTGTTGTCACTAAGGACTTAGACAAGGCCTTGCACGTAGCTAACAACATTAGAGCTGGTTCCGTTTGGTAACTGAATCTTTTATAGATGAAATTGGGTAACTAACTGTTCAGGGTTAATTGTTACGACGTATTCGATGCTGCTGCACCTTTCGGTGGTTACAAGCAGTCTGGAATCGGCCGCGAACTCGGAGAATACGGACTTGAGGCGTACACTGAAGTGAAGACCGTCACCATTAAAGTCCCTCAAAAGAATTCTTAATTAATAACCAGTTTGCTGGATAATATTCTTTATATAATAAATGTTTTTGGCCAACATTTGTATATACAATCGAGAATGCAACCGTTATGTACTACCCTTATTATAAAATCGTGCAACCCTGGGAATTTAAAAGCAGCTCCTAATCAATTCATCATTTTCCACATTGTACTTACGCAACACTGGCTCATGCGTCAAAACTACTTCGTGCATGGTGAACTCCTTGTATTTTTCATTAATAATATCCAGTAAAATTTTTCTCTGCACGTTTTTGCAGAGCCATATGCATAAATATCCTCCACCACCCGCGCCAGGAAACCAGCACGCTTCGGCCACCTTTTCCCTAAGAAGAAACTATTAGCAATACACTTAAGGGTGAATAAACTTCTTCAGGAAATAGATTAGGCTATTCACTCTTTTGGACAAGTTTTTGGAGGTTAAATATTTCTTGATTTCCAAGTACTCCTCTACTGATTTAGACGGGAAAACACCTGGAAAGACTGAGAGTTCCTCTAAAGCTTGAGTTGAGATATCACCATCAACAAAGCTTTTTCTCATTCGCTCAGTTAAATCAGAAAGATCTCTAAGTTTCTGCTGAACGCACACATCGGTGAACCATCCTCTCACAAAGACCTGAAAGCTCAATTTTTGCTTTAGTACCTTGATCTAACGACCTGTAGCATGTTTTTTGCCAATCTTGTTGTACCCGTATCGACGAGAACTAGGCGTTCATTAATTTCATTTTCAAAACAAGGGTCTAGAGGAATTTCTTCAACGTTGTAGCCTTTCTGAGAAAGTGTTCCTACAGAAGAATGTTAACATGCCTTCTAGGAAAATTACCATGTTTGATGCCCGGATAAATACCGCCTACTTGGTCCTGCCATCCACCACCAGTGGTGAGTAACTGCTCTACGCATAAGACCTTCAAACATAAGCAAGAACAGAGAATATTTCATCTCACCGTATACACTATTTGTTTTTTTGATATTTCGGTCAGACCGGATGCTCTCAATAAAGCTTCAATAATACACGATGCGAGAATCGAAGATCCCCCCATTCCTAGAAAAATTATTTTTTTATTTTATTTTTTGTTCTCTATCGTTTTAGGATCGGAGACATTCACTGACCTGATCCGTGACTCAGATGAGATTTGCATTGTATTATGATTTTTTCACAGTCGAAGAATTGTTTTAATCGACTACTTAGACTATGGTTAGAGTCCTTGACTATGCCAACAGCCACAATACAAGCACAAAAAATTGAACCTATATATTCAGTCACTTGTATTTTATAGTAAAAATACAGTCTTACCAAAGATTGTAGGTTGCGATGATGTTCGTAAGATATCTGTAGCTTCCAAATAAGATGTACTTTGATTTTCCACTGAAACAAAAACCCCTTTCCCTTCTGAACATCTTTCGACATAGCAGGATAGTGGATGCTGGAATTTAAAAAAAAATTTCATATTGAAGTGATGGCTCTTACTCTTCCTTCGAATAGGACAGCCATGTTGATCACACATGGATTATTTTCGGCAAAGGTTATGGGAGGTGTATCTAGCCATCCACCACATAGATCAATCTTCAAGTAAAAGGGATATTGCTCATTGATATTCCAATTCTGATCCTTACCCTTGCAGCTGCTTTGATTAACACAGTTTTGGGTAGATTAATATTAATGTCTTCCTGCTCTCTTAAAAATTCGATAGCGTGACAATGCCCGAAAACGTTCTGAAAACACTTGGAAATGTTAATGGCATGATAAAATACCTGGTATTCTTTCATCACTTGACGACTAATAAGAACCTGGACAGCAGCCTCAGCATGTCTAGCACCACGAACAAGCAAAAAGGGTGAAGCTGACCATTCTTTTCTTAGATATATCAGTAAACTACGACATATCAGTTTCACTTGGCTTAAATTGTTTGCCTAAAGTATAAGAATGTAGTTTGGTCGTTTCTCTCTCAGTACCGTTCGAATTCCTTCAAAATAATGAGAGAAATGAGGATTGGCAGCAGGCCCAGTATTGATGCCTCCAAGTCCCTTAGAGGACAGAATCATTAGATGAGCAATTCTTGAGAATATGCTAGCTACATCCATTAAGGTGATAGGTGATTCTGAAAACTTATGTTGTTTAATAGAAAATTCATAACAAGTATAACCTTCGCTCAAGAAATCTTTGAACTTATCCATGATACTAATGAAATGTCCGGAGATATAAACATCTTCAATACCTAGAATCACAGAGGAGTAACCTTTACAAGGTTTCTTTGGATCGGCGATCATATCCTCCAAATGATCAGCCCAAGACTTTCTGAACTTTCGAAGTTCTCCATTACTCTGTGGTGTTTAATTACCGATTGAAACTGTTGGCCATCAAAACAGCCTCCACTTCGGCATCATGTGACAGATAGCGATAGTTTTCTAAAAGGGCAACTTCTGAAATATAGAAGTCATTGCGTTTTAATTTTGAAATACGCACTTATAGCGGGCTTGATATTGTTAAATTTGTCATAAATAATAGCACGAGCAATTTTCCTCTGATTGATCTTCTCTTCAATCTTCGATTGACCAAAATCGTTCGCCATGAAGTCATGGCAACTCATTACCGTTGACTGGATCAAATCAAAAAACAGCGACAGCTGTTTGTAACGAAATACATGAAGAACTCCTTCCGCTCCTTACTCTCATACCCTGCAGACCGGCATCTTCTCCATGATAAGTTGTAGCAGCTATGGGTGGAATAGAACTCAAGCTCAAGAATAGTTTTGCTACTCGAGGAGACATATACAGCAAGCTGAGAATTATAGCAGCATTGGGGCCATTATCAGAGCAATAGGACAAAGATTTCAAGTCTCCCTGAACATTCAAGTCAAACGAAGAAAGATAAGTATTATTACCTTATCATCCAACAAGTAACTTCCATGAGTTTTGGCAAGTTCGGAGTTACCTTGAAAGGCAAAGGCCATTAGCGAGCTCTCTTCATCGATAGTCAATTCATGAGGAAGATCGTAAGTGCAGTTTGTTCCTAATTTTAGCTTGTCATATGTGCCAGATTATCATCCATACCTGCAATCCAGACACCACTACTACATCCACTGATTCTGTTCACGTTGGATATTGTTTTGCTCAACACTGTATCTGGTTGGAACTTCCAACTTTGGGGGTTCGATAAACTCGTGAAAGCATTAGATACGCTCCCCTAAATTGCGAAACAATTTATAAAATAAACAGCAGATATAACCAAACCATGAGAATTATTAAAATTTTCGTATTGTCGAAGACGCTTTCCTGTATGTCATCCTGTTTTTTACGGTAGCACACTCGCTCAGCCTGAATGTTTTGTCAAGAACTTTGCGATAGTTCATCTCACAGCAATTAATAAAGCGTTCAGAGTACTCCCAGCCGATCCAACATCACTGCAGGGATCTTCGACAACTAATAAATCTTCTGCTTCAAAAACACCCAGCTTTCGGAGCAATTCGAGCTCTAAAAGAATAAAGATTAACAATCACAGCTGCCTCATCAGACTACTATCAAAGAGCGCTGCCAACAAGTATTTTAAGAAACAAACAAACAGCTAACCTTTCTCAATAAAGTCATGTTTATGTTTATGGTGCACTGTAACACAAACCACAGACCACCCCGTAGGCATGTAAGCTGAACTTCAAAACATTGTTTTAATTAATAATATTCATCTGTTCTTTCTCTTCTATGTTTTAAAAGCTTAAATTAAAATATTAATTATAATAAAAAGCTATTTGTGTGTCTGTGTGTGTGTGTGTATGTGTGTTGAGGACAGCATCACAACCAAACCACGTATATATACTCTCTGTGATACTATTAGTAATGGAGCACACTTCAATCCACTCGCTCTATTTAAACTTATTCAAATGCGGCAAATTCTTTTGTAATAGACGCTAAATGAGGTGGAGCATAGAAAAATATATAATTCAAACCTTTCATCAGAGCCATTGAACACAACCGGCTGTTATAAAAGTTGTTCAACGAATAACTTTTTTTACGTGAAAATGTGTTTGCGTAAGTGTTTTTCACGTGAAAATTAGAATATCTCGTTGTCTCACTCTCCTCACTAACCAATTCGTTAGGATGTTTTTTGGTTTTTTTTTTCCAAAAGCATCCACCCTATCTCTCTCTCTTTCTCTATCTCTCTCTATAACTCTCTCTATCCCCCTCTCTCTCTCTTTGTATGTAGTTTTTTGAAAAAGAATGTTTGAAGATTAGTGTGATGAATTTGAAATTCTTTTTTCATTTCATTGCATTTCATGAGATTTTTCACAAACAGCTCATGATAACACGCAAAATCGGAACATTTGAATCGTCAATTCCTCTAACAACTTCCTATTTTCGTCTTAAATTTGATCATTTCCCTCAACATAGATTACCTTATTCCTTCAAGCAATTCCAGCAGTCGTGTGTTGTGCAATTTCCTTTTGTTCTTCAATGGCTCCTTTTGAAGAGCGAAAGAGAGAGAGAGAGAGAAAGAGATGAAAAAAATTCTTTTTTTTTTGTCAAACAAAAAAAAAAGAAGGAAAATCGTCCTGTTAAAAGCTTTTTCTTTTCTCCTTCTTCATCTTCACCATCATCATCATCATCATCATCATCATCATCATCTTGCTGGTTGCTTAGTTGAGCATTTCCTTTGCAGCCGACCAAGTTAATTTCTCAAAGAAAAGAGCTGCGCCTATCATGTCTCTAATGACGAGTAGTAGTAGTAGTAGTGGGGGGCTTGTTTTTCGATCAAACTTAATGCTTTTGGCTGCACTAAATTGCCTCATCTGTTATTGCAAATTGTTCTGCTCCTCGAGCATTTCGTTGAACTTTTAATAAAAAACCATTTGGTTTTTAGTAAAAAACGAAATAATTGCTTCTATTTCATACATCTCTTCTCTCCTTCTCCTTCTCCTTCTCCTTCTCCTTCTCTCCCTCTCTTACTCTCTCTGTCTGTCTGCTTCCTCCATTTACCTCTCTCTCTACACTTTGTTTGCAGAAAACTTGCCTTAATAAACATAATTTATATGAATTTCAACTTTTTTTTGTGGTCTTCTTTGCCTTTTCAGCCTTTTTCATTACTATATGAAGCTATAAATTCATGAATTCTACGCCATTTTGCTCTCCCAACATGATGGTCAATAGACTCACTCACACACCGCCTGACATGTCAGGACTTTCAACTTTATCTTTATTTCTTATTCATTCATGCTCTTCCAGCTGGAACTTCAAGAATATAACTTGTTTTCCTTTTATATACAGATTATTGACTTCATATTCTAATGAGCACCCCCCCCTCTACCTCCACCCCTTTACTCCTCCCCTCTCTCTCTCTCTCTCCCTCTACTACCCAGTAATAACGCCCTCTCAACTGCCCCCAAAAACAATCCTTCACAGAATCTGGTAAATAAATGTTTTCTTTTATAACAATCATATAATCACTTTTTTTAAACTTTTTTTGATCTTTAAGCTTTCTCTTTCAGATTAAGTGCTAACGGAGACACTTGTCTTCTACTTCTCTCTCCCACTCTCTTCCTCTTCCTCTCTCTCTGCATGTTTCACTCATCAACATCTGTTTCTTTGTTCATTTCCCTACAAATCACCCTTTTTTAAATATTAAAATTCTTATAATTAACTTTGTTCATTCGAATACTTATTCTCACGTCTGTTCACGTCAAACTCGCGTGGAAGTTACGTGAGAAATCATTTATCTGTAAATCAAACGCACTAACTGGTTGTACATCGTTCATACTCCTTCATCCAATTCTCTTCCTCCTTCTACCATCTTCTCTCTCTCTCTTTCTCTCTCTCTCTTTCTCTCTCTCTCTTAATCTCTCCCCTTCATCTTCTCATATTGAAGCATTTTTTTCTTGTGGTAAAGACCTACTCTTTTCCATGTTAGGACTTGAGTTTAAAACTCTCTTACTTCCTATTCTCTTTTTACGGCAGTATAAGAACTGCGGGGCCAGCTGACAACAAGCTTAATGGCTCTCGAATAGCTTTCGTATTCCACGTGACCACTAAATCCTTCAGGTTGCATTCTGTTTCACATATTAAACTCTTAATAAAGCTATCATTATGTTATAAACTAATTGTGAATGAGATGAGAGTATGATAAAGCCTCGCAAGCAGGCAGCTTCTATTAATCATAGATGAACACCACCAGTCTATTTCTATTCGTATTCATGACTTTTTTGAAGCTTTTCGCTTTTACTCTCGCATGTTTCTTCTATTTTAGATTCAAAACGTCGTCTACAACTTCAATTCCAAATTCATCATCCTCCCCGTCGGGGATGGATGCTGAAACTCAAAATATTTTTCTACTTGGGCTTTTCATTCTTTTTGGATGGATGTTTGTTGTTCTAATCTGTGCATCACCTCAGGTTCGTTTAATTTTGCTTTTCCTTCCTTCTAAGACTATTCTTGACGTCATTCCTTATATGGAATTACCGCATAGATCATCATTCTTTCCCTCTCTCAAACCCATTTCTCTCCACTCACTAACAGATTGTCATTCTCTTCCTCTGCGTTTCAATCTCATATTCGTGCTTCGTTTGTAATTATAAATCTGATGAGACTTGTATGGTCATGAGAACTCATAAACGATTTCTGACCAACGAAATCGCCTCAAGCAATCCAAATCCCTCAAAAAACAGTGATAATATTTTCTCAGAGGAAGTTTGTTTTCTTTCACATTTTATGTGTCCGATAGCAATTTCTCCCTCTTATTAGTCATTTCAGTCGATTCGCTTTCTCTCTCTACCAGCCTCTCTCTCTCTTTCTCCTTCTCTCTCCCAGATCTGAAAGAATTGAATGAAATGAATATTTAATTTTTTTATAAAAAATGTTTTTTGATTGAAAGAAAGAAGGAGAGGCTGAAGGGAGCTTTGCCAATCAGATTTCAAAGTTTTGGTTTTTGTCAAAATCGTCTTCAGATGGAAGACTAGGAGACAGAGTTGATCATCTTCTCTTTCCCAGGAAGGAAAAAAAAACTTTTTTTCTCTTTCTCCCCTCGAATGCCTTTGTAAGGAATGTAGTTTGATGAAAGAGGGTGGGATTTGTTTTTGATCGAAAAAGAAAGATTAGTTTGAGAGAAAATTTGAAAACATGAAGACAATTGTTTCAAAGTTTTCAGTATTTCAAGTAACTTTCGCATTCTCTCTCTCAGTTCTTCTATCCCTGTGAGTGAGTGTTGGCAGCGTTCGTGGTTGACAAAAAAATATTCAAATGAAAATGAAGAATGATCAGTTATGATGATATCCGTATGTCCTTTGTTCTTCGTTCTCTGTAGATCTCCATGATCATCTGTATCTCTGTCTAACTCCCCATCTCTCTCTTTCTCTCTCTCTATCTATCTATCAACTCTTCAATCGATCTCTCCTAAACCGATTGAACTTAACATTTGGAAGAGGAAATGAGTTCCACGTCTTATTTCCATATTTGTTTTTGGAAAGAAAGGATAATTGTATGAAGTGTCGTCGTGGAAATGAATTGAAACTATCTATTTCCGGAATTTCTGTATGAAAGGCAGCTGTAAAGCTGCGACAACATTTCTATTCCATCTCTCTATATAATGAATTAAAGAGGGAAGTGTAAAGAGAAAGTCTCCTTTTGCTCGAAACTTTTTTTTTTTCGTTTGTCGTCACCATCTCCTCTATCGCTTGTCTGCTTGTCATAGTTTGAGAATGTCTTTATCATCATCGCGTTTGTGAAAATCAACAACGGATGATATTTCAAAATAATAGTAACAACTGGTTGATGAGACGAGGTGGACCACAAGTCAGCTTTTGCCTCCTCCTCTTTCTCGTCCTCTACCAAAAGATACAGATGTTCAGATATTTTACAAAGAGAGAAAATACTAGGAATGTGCAGGAGACATCTGAAGGAGGTCCAGCAGTCAACCACCTAGCCAACAGCTGCTATATCTCCACACAACTCTCCCTCATTTTTCTTTTCGTTCTTCTAATGGATTTTATTTATTTTCCAGGAGCCAATATATGTGCTTTGATGTCTTTTGATAGGCTTTTCCTCTTTTGTTTCCTTTGATGTCATCCGTCTTCGAGTATCGATGACAACCTTTCTATATTACCGAATGATAAGTCATTTAGTTTTTCAACCTCCAAAGCCATTACTCCATCAATCCAACCAATGCTTCCTCTCCCACTGAAACGAAAAAAAACTTCCGACAGTTTCATCGTCAATCACTACCACTACGCAGTTGAGCTTCTTTTTTCTGTTCCCAAAGAGAAAAAGCTTCATGTATACATCATTTTTTACATTCAACTGCTTGCATATAATCTCACTTATTTGCCATTTTTCTTTTTTTTCCGTTTCCTTCCTATCTCTCTTTCTCTATCCCTCTCTGCTTAACCTCTTATTCTCTTTATCTCTCTATAAACACCTACTCTTCTATACGTGATCATCTCTCTCTCCCCCCCCCCTCTCTCTCTTTCTCTTTACATCGTTCTACTGTTCTTTATTGTTTTCTGCCAATGTTTTATAATTTTTAATCTATTATATGAATCTATGTCTTTCGTGTTTCAGCTGTTCCGTGACTGCATCAGAAAACGATGCTGTTGTCGGAACTCCGATGGAAAGACGCCTGACAAAATGAAGCGGGTGAGGTTTTGTCTTTCTTAACTATCTGTCAAAACCATATATGCATATGAACTAAATTTGATTCAGGCTGAAGCTCGTCGACAAGTCACTCGAGCGTTAGCAGAGCGACCATCATCTTTTCTCGTTGGTCAAGCAACAGCTTTAACAAATATCCGAAATGTAAGCTGCTTTTCCAACTTCTGTTCATCTCAAAGCATACTTTACAGGAAGCTTGTACTGATGTCAACTGTCCTTGTCGAAGAAATTCTTTTCATTATTCATTATCTGATGTAGAAGAATGTTCTGTTGCTTCAGGAGATCAGTTTGAATCTCAAATAGCCTAATGAGAACAACTAATCGATATATCAACCAACCTTCATAATCATATTGGTCACGGAACAGCTCTTACAAACTATTAACTACGTTTACAACTTACATATTACCTCTCATATCATCGATTTTTTTTATATTTGGTTCAAGAAATGGATTTGAGTTGATGTCGATAAACTGAATCGAACACATTCCTTGAAGATGTGAGATATTCTGATACATCAAGATGCTCTCTAATCTTATCCTCCCGTTCAACTAGTCATTCTGACACTGTTATCGATATCAACGAAATCCTCCTCCATGCACTCATCTCATTGAGATGACATAAAATAATACAAAAATACAAAAATTCCTCGCGATTTCCCTTATGTGGCCTCACTTTATTCATTTGAGATGAGTCCAGTATTCATTTGACAGTGGTCCGTCGTAAGTCAGATCTCAACACGTTACCAACGATATCTTTTTCATTCTTCCTCTCTCTCTCTCTCTCTCTCTGTTTAACAAATAAATGCTTACAAGAACGTAACGAAGAGATTTCGTCTTGCGATTGACAGTTGTTCACTTATCCATTTTGGTGCTCAAATTTCCGTTCATTCCCTTTTTTGGGGGGACAGTTTCATATTGACAAGGCTTTTCATCTTAACTACTACTACTCCTTAGGTTATTGTATCTCTTAATTATAATAAAATAATTCGATTATAATAATGTTATTGATTGATTGGTTATCACTAGTATGTGTGGCTCTGTTTAATGAGCAAACTACAAACACATGTTTCAGACTTCAGACATGACCAAAAATATTGCTCCAGATGATCTCTCTCTCACTAGCCATAATCAAAAGCATCTCAACTATTTGCTTATAATTAACTAAAACCACGTCACGTTAACTAGATAAGATGCTCACTTATCATTCTTTCTCTTGTTTTAACATTTCTATTTCTCGCTCTTTTCTCTTTTTTACGCTCTTTTAATTCATGTAATGGCCTTTACGTTATCAATCTCTCTCTTATTATTTTGAAAAATAAGATTTCTCTCACTAACCTTCTTAACGTCTTCAATTGAACTCCAATCTCTTACAACTTGACAAACTTTTTTTTAAATTTCGTTTTCAATTCTTACCTTACTCTGTATATCTCTTCCACTCTCTCCATTTCACATACACTCTCGTTTGCGGAATGTGATAGTAAAAGCAACCGTTCTGTCCTATCCACATGGTACAAATGAAATGACCACGCGGTCACCACGTGGCATCGCACGTGAATAATATCAACCTACAATGTTGTTTACTTACAAACATTTTTATAGTATGTTGTGGTTGCTTGTGAGCCTTGCGCTCGCGGGCAATGTCTCCGCTCAGTTGAGAGTAGATTGCTTTCCTGAGCCGAATGCCAATGAGGGCGCTTGCAAAGCACGTGGATGTTCTTGGGTACCTGCCAATAACGCTGTAAGAAACTACATATTTTCTACTGTCATGAGATTATGAATCATAGAATGATCCTAATGAGCCATGGTGCTTCTTCCCAAATGGTATGGGTTATAAGTTAAGCCAGTCACAAGGTAACAATTACACATTAACAAAGAATGGTGGGACCAAGTGTCCCTGGGGAAATGATTTTGGAACTCTTCAATTCAGTTGGACTGTGGCACCTCACCTGAATATCAGGATCACTAGTGGATCACGGTAGTTTGTATGTAGTGTTCATATGATCTGATTCTGTTACAGTTTTGAACCTAATTTGAATTTTGCTAATGAAGTTCGATCAGAAACAGAAAGCTTAAGTGTGAGAACTGCTGCTGGAGACCCATTCTCGTTCACTGTTATTCGAGATAAGACTAGCAGAAAAATTTTTGATTCAACCGCAGGTACTGAGACCGTTTGTTTGAACAAGCATACAGTGATATGATCAGGAGGAATAATATTCACGGACAAATTCATTCAAATCGCTACTTATCTCCCTTCTGAAAACCTTTATGGCTTGGGAGAGAACATCCATCAGACTATCAAGGTATACTTTTCAAGCTTAGTGTTAGTATGGCTTTTCTCAGCACGATTTTACCAAATACACAACATGGGGAATGTTTGCCAGAGACGAGCCTCCTAACTCATACGGGGAGGATACTAAGAACCTCTATGGTTTTTTAAAAGCATTCAAAAGTTTAGTTCATGTGTAATGTTAAGGTGTTCATCCATTTTATATGGTGGTTGAGCCTGATGGTAACGTCCACGGAGTCTTTATCATGAACAGTAATGCTCAGGTTAGTCTTCAGTGACGTTGGATTATTTGTTTTGGGATTCTAGGAAGTCACTACTGCCCCAGGGCCTGCTTTGATTTACCGTACTACTGGCGGAATGTTAGATATCCATTTCTTCGCTGGACCAACTCCAGATCTCGTACTTCAACAATACCATGACTTCATTGGACATCCCTTTTTACCAGCCTATTGGGCTCTCGGATACCAGGTATGCTAGCATGTATTCTACTCGAACTGTTTCATTTCTAAGCTGTCGCGATATGGGTATAAGAACCTGGACGATATGAAAAACCGTATTGCAGCTGTTCGTAACTATGGAATCCCATTAGATACAGCTGTCATTGATATTGACTATATGAATAGATACAAAGACTTCACCGTTGGCTCTCCCGTATGTTATTGAATTCAATTTTTTTTTGATTCAAAAGATTCTTTCAGAAGTGGGACGGTCTTGCTGACTATGTAAAGCAAATGAAATCATGGGGAATGAAGTTGATTCTCATCTTCGATCCAGCCATTGAAGCGGATTATGATTCTTTTCAACGAGCTCTTGATCAGGTACGCAAACATAATGTTACATAAAAAAAGAGAATATTTCCATTTAGGGAGCCAAATTCATTGAATGGGAGAGATCCGACCAAGTTATGCAGAACATCCAAGTCTGTGAAACAATAGCTAGAGAGATTTCTTATTTGTTATTCAGAGTCAATATCCTATGGCCAAAAATACAAAAATCATGCTTGGAGTGGTCTGGCCGGATAAGCATGTTGCTTTCCCAGATTTCCTTGATTCTACAAATGCAACACAAAGTTGGTGGATTTCAGAGTTTGTTCGCTTCCATGGTCAAGTATGTGACTGCTTTCTTCATCATACATCAGTCGATTAGGTGGAATTTGACGGCATTTGGATTGATATGAATGAGCCATCCAACTTTGGAACAAACGAAGATCATCCATGGTATTATGATAGCGCTGATCATCCAAATGATCTACCATTATTCTGTCCAATTAATGCAAACAACCCTGACTCTACCTGGGATTTACCTCCTTATAAGACTCACAATGTCTGGAGATATGACGGCGTCAGTTATGAGATGAAAGAGAGATTGAACTTGTTTTTTTATAGAATTCATATCTCTCCACTAAAACCTTATGTATGTCTGCTGTTCAAGACGGAGGCAAATTACGCTTCTACAACGTGAAGAATTTGTATGGCTGGTCAGAGGCTAAGTACACTCAACAGGCTCTTTATAAAGCAACCAATAAGAGAGGTGCGGTTATCTCAAGGTAAACCTTCATTTAGGAAGATGTCTGGGTAATGAAACATGCTTCTAGATCAACATTCCCATCATCGGGTAGATTTGCTGGACATTGGCTGGGAGACAACACGGCTCGTTGGGAAGATTTAAAAACTTCCATAGTAGGAGCTCAAGAATTCAACTTGTTCGGAATTCCGTTAGTTCATAGCTTTCTGGAACAAACGATGTTTTAATCTTCCAGATATGTTGGATCAGATATCTGTGGATTCCTTCAACCTTCCAATGAAGAGTTATGCCTTCGTTGGCAGCAAATGGGTGCTTTCCATTCCTTCATGAGGTTTATTTGGTCGAGTTCATCTAAGTATTGTTATCTGTAGAAATCACAATGACATTAGCTCGCCCCCTCAAGATCCTGCTGTTTGGCCATCAGTAGCCCAGGCTACCAAGAAAGCTAACGAGTTCCGCTATAGATATTTGCCTTATCTGTACACGTAAGTATCACCATGCATTACTCGTAAACGATCATGCAGGCTTCATTTCAACGCTTGGTTGAATGGTGGTGCTGTCATTAAGCCAATGTTCTTCGAATTCCCTCATGATGCTGAAACTTACAACCTCAGTTATCAATTCATGTGGGGTAATGGTTTCGTAGTGGCTCCAGTGTACAAACAGGTATTTGAATGTCTTTTTTTCATCAAATGGTTCGGTAGGGTGCTAACTCTGTGGACTTGTATCTGCCAGAAGCTGATTTCTTCTCTGTCTTCGACTATAACTATGGAGAACCATTTGATGTAGGATTCGTAACAGTCCCCGCTCCAACAACATCTCAAATTCCCACATTTGTTCGAAGTATGTTACTATTCACCCCTTAAGCTGTAAATCCTGTATTAGGTGGTCAGATTATCCCCAGACAAGCACCTGGCGTCACAACAACAGCTTCGAGAGCCAATCCATTTGAAGTTTTAGTTGCTCTCAAAAACATTGAAGGTACAATTCAATAGACGCATCATTCTTAAGAAAATTATTCCAGGAGATGAATACGCTGCACAAGGACAACTCATCTGGGATGATGGAGAGACTATTCAAAACGATATTGACGAGGCTGACTACTGGGATATTCAATACAACTTTGAAGCCACAAGCGATTCCTCTACTTTCAATTACAGTCCCAAGAGAGTATCTGTGAGTGAGACCCTCTCTTGCAAAGAACCATATTTCATATTTGTAGAAAACTGTCTCTCTTCCCACCTTGGATGTCATAGAAATCTTCAATCATCCAGCTCCACCCCTCTACAACACCTTCAAGCTGAATGGAGTTGCAGTAAGTTCATATGAAGAGATAGGGAACTACATGATCTCATAGATAAACGTCGACGTTCAATGTACATCTTACAACACTTTCACAAAGGTATTCAAGCTGTGCACGAAGAACTTTATTAAACTTGGAAGCCAGGATCAGGTATGACAACTTAACGAGTGTTACTCAGCTTCGCTTATAGATCCTAGAATGGAAGAACTACGCACCGTCAGCTCTTCCTGTAGCCGACAAACAATTCCAAAAATTGAACTTTTATGATTCGACTAACTAACGAGTATACAACAATAAATGATTTTCAATGAACAACGGTATTTATGCGGAAAACAAAACGGGATTGAAGACGAACCTGCAAGTTGGAGACACAACTGAAGGCTTAAGGTAGCTGGTATCAGCAGCTCTGCTTGCATCACATTATCAATCATACCTAGCTTGATAAGATTTAAAATAGATTTTACATAACAAAAATTGAAAATAGGAGAACAAGTACAAAGGTCGATAAGGCTGGCACGCTGGAGTAGTTGTTGCAGTAATCCGAGGTACAACAACAGATCTTACCAATGATCTCATCTGCGCAATTGTGTCCCTGAAATCAAACTTCACACTCAGCACAATCTGTTCGGGAGGAAACATACAGTAGAAACTATAGCATCACATTGATGATGACTGTCACAATCGTATCTATACCCGGAGATGGAATGTCCAGTCATGGAATTGAGACCTATAGCTTCCCTACGAACACATTAATTACTTCTATCAAAAAGAATCTTACTCACATTATGCAGTACTTAGCATCTCCTGCGCAGGGTGACTTGACAAGATCGCCTTTGTGAGCAGCATCAACAGATCCTTTAATACCAGTATAACATTGGAGGGCATAGGAGACAGATAACACATTCAGAAGGAACAGGGCAGACTTCATTTTCTGAAAGATGAAATTAGAAATATAAGCTGGAACAGAAGCTCCTACTGAAAGACATTAATTTCAAATCGAGAATATGCGTAAATTTATCTTTTTTTCTCAAAATTATCAGTTTCTGCTTATCATGGTCCCCCCACCTCTGTTTCCTAATACTTGATAGGAAACCCTTCCTCATCTTCTCTCCCTCTTTGTAGTCCGCTGAACTAGACCATCTCATATAGAAAGCTAATGGGACAAGAGCAGAGCTGTACAGACAGATAGTTCATTATCTCCTTATTCCCTTCATCCTTCATCATCTCCTATCATCACTCATCGAAAATGTCTCGAGTCACACGCTTTCTCGCCCATCTGATGAAAAGAAAGTTAGTTGCTATGACGACACCCTTATGTTTTGAGAATTCCAAACTAAGATTTTTTGAAAATAATTTTTAATTCATCCAAATTTAACATTTTACGCTGATTATCTTTGGGTGACCACGAACAATGCGGTACACCTTCTCAGAACTTCCTCGGCCTGTTCCGCCCAGAATTTTGATACGAATTGTTCAACTGTGGCATCCAACTGTTTCTAGATTCTTGTTGTTGTTGTTGTCGGGGAGCATCCTGCAACCAAACAGATGTGAAATTTAACACTAAGTAGGTCTTACTTGATGACGGCGGCGAGGATCACGGATTTCCTCTGGCTTTCTCATTCGAGGATCATTTATTAAAGGTTGAGGTGGAAGTTGATTAGCTGAAACAAATGTGATTCATACAAGATGGATTACTCATTCATACAATTTTCTTGACGTCTCCATGTTTCACTTGGGGGAGGACCCATACGATTAGGAGGAGGCTGAGATCTAAGATCGATATCATTACCATATTGGGAATTGTTTGACTGACTCCCCCTATAATCCATGTCCTGGAATCAGATTATATTTAGTTTGGCAGTTCAAAGTATTGTACTAACCCTAGGATCAGGTTCATCATTAGATGACGGAGGTACACCTGATGACCACACTCCAGGTGGAGGCATATTGGGGAATGGTGGAAAATTGGGTGTCCTGCTTGATTGTGGCGGGGGTGGTCCTCGACCAGGCGGTGGTTGAGTAGGTGGCTGTGTAGGGGGGCCTCTCCCAGCTTGGGGAGGAGGTGGAAAGTTTTGAGGGGGTGGTCGCAGTGCTGCAGGAGGAGCAGGACCATTATTAGGTTTCCATCCGGGTGGGGGACCAAGAGGTGGTCTCTGGCTCGGGAAGTTAGGTTGCGGTGGGGGCGCCCCAGCTTAAATTGATGGAATAAAATCCAAATTAGGATGTTAACAAACTTGGATGAGTGAGCATAGAAGGAGGGGGTGCTCCAAGAAGACTTGCTTTGGGTCTTCGGAAGACATCATCTTCGATCGGTTGTTCGTCAACTCCTCCAGGCTTGCTAACGTTCCACATCCTTTCGAACTGTCTCTGAGCTTTCTTTGGAGGTGGTTGTTTGATGAGGACACGATGAGCTTTCTGAGTTGCAGCCTTAAATCCATGTTCTTTTTAATAATGTGCTATTATCCTTATACCAATTGTCTAGCATTCAAATCTTCTGGCATGAGAAGCATTGCCGTTGGAGCTGCACTTGCTGTGTTCACTTCCCTATTCATATTCTCATAAACATCATCATCAAGTCCCATTCCTTAAGAAATTATACATAGCCTATTACATCTAAGCTGAGCCAAACCAGGGATCACAGTTACTGTGGTCTCTTCCGGATCGTGACGTATGACGGGCTGTTTGGGTTCACGTTCCTTATCCAAAGAACCGACCTGAGAAAGAAAGATCACAAACATCATTTGTTCATAGAACACTACCATATTAGTCGTGAAAGAGGCTAATCCGAATATATCCTCTTGAGTGTCACCTGGTCGATTGCGAGCCCAAAACTTCGTATTGTTATCATTTGATCCTACAAGAACAGATTAGATAGATTTTCTGGCACATCAGACCAGTGGAAAGAATGTGTCCTTTGGGATGAAAACGCATAGCCCAAACCGCTTGATCATGAGCGTGCTCCAATAAACCAACTTCCTGAAAGAGATAATGACGCTAGACGGATTATATGAGACTGATTACTTTTTCTGTTCCAACGAGCCAATACGCCAATGAACCATCACCTCCTCCAGAAACAAACAAATTTTCGTGCACAGGATTCCATGCCAGAGCTAAAAAAACAATGATCAATGATCATCGCATCCTAAGAGCGATAAAGACTTACATGTTACTTCTTTCTTGTGTCCACGATAAGAATTCATTTCTTTCATAATACGAATATCATACAGCTTTACTATATGATCACGTCCACCAGTTAAGAGCCAGTTACCGTTCATATTCCACTCAACAGCCATCACAGAACTTTTGTGATCTTGTCTGTAAAATAAGAACGATGAATAGATAATCAGAGAACGACATACATGGTTGAAAGACATTGTCCACTCTTTGGATCCCAAAGTTTAACAGGTTGCTGCGAGTCTCTGGACCCTGTTACAACTAATCCTTTTGTAGGATGCCAGTCAACACATCGAACCTGAACGAATGATTACAAAACGAAGGATAGAGATTAAAAACCTCAGCTCCGTGTCCTCTGAGAACTCTCTCCTCAACACAGCGAGCAAAGTCCCATATTCTGGCAGTTCCATCATCAGAAGCAGACACAAACTTAACGTCTGTAGGAGCGAAGCTGAGAATTATGAAGAAATAGATGAAATGATCTGAGGGACTATCCTACCTCAACCCTCTAATGGGATCATCTTTATGAGCTTGGAACATGTGCACATTATTCATGTTAGGTTGCCAATACTTGATGTAACCGTCATGATCAGCGGATACCAACCACTGTTCATTATAAGACCAAGTCATGGCTCGTATGGCAGAGTCGTGAGCCTGAAAGATGGAATATCTCTCCTTTGGCCATACATAGTAGGGATAGTTATGTCTAATGTGCTTGACATGTTTATTCTTTCGTCAACTCTCAACTTATGTCCTTTTCCTGTGAATAACTTCAAGAGCAAGTTCGCGCTATCTTTATTACAAAAAATACTAAAGCACTTATCTTTATTTGCTTCTAATACAAGACATAAACAATACCGCATCCGTACCTGAAGAATTGTTTCGAAATTGAAAGCTGTTCCATTCCACAGTGTGAATTCACCAGTTGAAGCACCCGTAATCAGTCTTTTGCCTTCTGGTGTCCACTGAAACACTACGTGAAACTTAATTGATGATGTCACTTACGCAAAGTGTATAAACAGGACATTTAACTTTATTCATGGCTGCTCTTACAAACTTAGTTAATACACAATCAACAGGAACATCCGGTGTACACCAAGCGGGTAGAGCAGTGTTCTAAGATATGTAGCATTCTGCAAAGCTATAACAAAGGAAGTTCTTACTTGATAGAGTTCATCAGGTTGTTGAATTACTCTCTGTCTTTTACCATATTGCCATAATCGTGACTGGAAAACATTACAACCATGGAAAAGGGGACGTCAACACTAACCTCGGCATGATTCAGAATATTTGAAACGTAATCTACATGTCTCCTAACATTTGCTACATTTTTCCTCAACCTTCTTCCAGGTCCATCTCCCATCAAAATATCTTGAGGATACTACAATGAATTGGTTAGGGAATGTATACAGCAAGGAACATACCGAAGTTGGTTGGAAGGGTCGGAATGGTGCAGGCTTTCTGAAGAAATTCGTAGATCCACCACTTGTACCTACAAAATGATGAGAATACATTCGGATATAGAAGACATACCTGGTTGTGTGGAGAACGTCAAAGTAACACCTGAGTTGGAAGACCCAGGTGCCGACCCAAACTGAATTGGATTTGTCTGACAAGCAAAATTAAAATTCGAAGAAGTTGAATGACTTACTGCATTAGCGACGGCAGCCATTTCTAAACACTAAAGAAGATTAATTCCAAGAGAAATGTTATGAAAGAGTCTCTGTATACATGAAAATACCTGAAAAGAAAGATTTATAGCATAAAGCATAGTTAAAGAATTGAAAATCATTTTATTAAGCCATTCAAATAGTCAAACCCAGCAAGTATTTTGAAGCCTACGGTGTGTACGCGGTTTGTTGTAAACAGCATGCATATAGGAACTTTGAATCAGAGTAACGCTGGTTACCGAACTAATACAATAAAATTAGTTTAAAAACGCTTTATTATTCATAAAATGTCCAGAACATTTACGAATCACAATATAAACATGTAAACAGGATGGAGTGGAAGCTTTGGCGAACATGGTCCCTTGGTCTCTGGTTAGTTCTACAAACATTCAAAAAAAACAAAAATGTAATAAAGTAACTTATAAAACAATAAAAAATGATGGTATCTTCAAAAAAGTTGTTCAGCAACGCACGAAGATTGGATGTTTTCAAAAAAATTTTGAAAAAAAAAGTAATTTACTTCGTTCCAGTTAATTAATTTAAAAGAAATAGAATTGAAACTTCTATTTCAGATCGGACATGATTGTACTTCATTTATTAGTTCAGTAAGATTATAAAAACGGACATAACGGAACTAACGGACCGTAATTCAATATATTCTGACGTCAGCACCCACAACACAACCGTTCTGCACTTGAGCTCATCTGGAAATGAAATAGACTAAGCTACGTGTAAGTTACGCATGGAATATTCTAATTAATTGAGTTGACGTAAGCGTCACCAGTCATGTCTGACGAAACAATTTCACATTTAAGAACTTTATTTTTTATTTTTCTAATGCTTAATGGCTATTTTGCTTCTAAGAAACTATCCTGGCTATTTCTGCTTCTCGCGTGATGTCATCAATATCATCTTTCGTCCATTTAAGGATATATTTAGTTTCTATGGAGCTATTTAATCGGGGGCGTGGGTATTCAAATAGCAATTTCCTCTGTGTCTCTTCAGCTCTCCTGTAATCCCTCCTGATCATCTGCTTTTATCCTTATTCAGTAGTTTTTAGATGAGAAGTTGCACCATTCCCGCCCATTTGGAGTGTGATCATATAAATAAGAGAAAACTTGCTTCCTGTCATTCGCTTGTCTGAATGGAAGTCATATTCTAAGCATTCCATTCTTCGATCAAACACTGTTTCTACCTAATTTGATACTTGACTTCACTAAAAAATGTATTAATTTATCAAAATCTCGTGATGTGGTGATGGGGCTGAATTCAATTCACGACAAGTTTAAGACTTGTCGTTGAATGTTTAGAAAAACTATTTTTCAAATGGAATTTTCTGAACGTCGAATCAGGCATGTTCCATCTCAAGATTGGAACACTCTCACCCATTCAACGACATACATTAGCTATTTGTCATATTTCGACTTTTTTCATTCGCGATAGCTTTCCTTATCTGAGATTAGGGGAAAGGATAAAAAGAACCTCCTTCGCTTTTCTCGTCACATTTTCTTTCAAATAGATAAGAGCCAGCCATAAGAGTGTTCTCGGCCTAATGACCTTATTTAGATCGTGATTGAATCCGTTATTTGCAAAGTAGTCGTTGCATTCATTTCATTTCATTCTCTCTTTTTAAAACATTTTTATTTTATTTTAACCATTTGTAGGATGTATCCACGTTATCTCTTTGTTATTCTTCTCATCATCTGTTCGGTGTTGGCCTTTGATAAGAACTCTATTACCAAGAAAGGCAAACGTGATCCATTTGAGAAGGTAACATCAACTGAGTTTCAGTTTATAATCATCTATGTCTCTTTCAGCATCCAATCTCTCGTAGAGTTTTAAGATTTGAACGTTCTGTTGCTGAACGTGAGCCAAGCTTCCCCATTCCCGATGATCTTCCATATCCATTATTGGATTTCGCAAAAATCTTACCGTAAGTATATATATTTAAAAGAAAAATCAAACTACAAACTATATTTCTAGTGAACTCCCAGTAAAAAACAAGCCAAGTCAACAGTTTCCCGATTTGGAATATCAACCAGAAATCGAATTTTAGATAGATTTATCAAAATATATAATTTGTGCTTCTCGGGTTACTTGTACAGTTGCAACTCTATTAATGCTCATAATTTCTCAATAAAAACATTCTTTTATGAAAGCCATATGTTGTTGAGAAACATATTTAATACAAACACACCATTCTTACACTTTTAAGATGTTTTTTCTTGCATACAACAAGGCCATTTCTTAAATTATCAGCAGCTGTTCTCATATTTGGCTCTTTGTCTCATCCTATCTGTATCTCAATGAATGAGATGATGAGAAGAAGAGCTTTGTTATTTTCCTTCTTACACATGTTTCATTTTTATTGAAAACTAACAAGAATATGTAGTTTTCGAGTAAATGCTCTGATCCAAATCCATCATCATCAATGTTGAGTAGCCAGTGACTGACTCATAAATCTCAAAATCTAGACTGCTCTATACTACGCTCTTTGGCTTTTCCGTCCTTCTGCTCGTAAGAAGTAATCTCTCTCCTCCTCTCACATAAGTTTTCTCTCTTGCAAATACAACTCTCCCGACGTCTGTTAACTTTTTCTGCTCTCCACTCTATCCCATTGCCAATAACAGGTGCTCTATGGTCTTCTTCTTTTTCTATCATTTCTTTTCTTCTTCGAACATACTTCATTTCTTTTCTGGTGGTAGTCAAATTTGCTACGAACTTTCACACCTCTATCAATTTTCATTTTTAAGTCTCTTGAGTTATGATTATGATGGACTGATACATCTTCATATATGCTTTACCAACTGATTCTCTGCCAGTTACTAATCATTCCTATAGTTCTTGCAATAGCTGAACTACCATTGGCTCCGTATAATGTGAAGGTGAGGCTTTTTTATCCATTTTCTCATATTATCTCGTTTTCACTCTCAGATCTACTGTAGACAAGGAATTCGTTATACTAAGCAATCGCAAGCAGCCGTTCAATGCCCTTCTTCTTCGACAGCTTGTGGCTATTTCGAGTTTAAAGCTCCCAATAAGCAGGGAGAAGACAAAGTTGCAAGAAATCCTCCCAGCCTCATGCAACCGTTTGATTTTTAGACTGGCTTATTCGATTGTGTGGATGCGGGTATACTAGCACTCAATGAGTCAGCAGATGAAGAAGACTATGCAGATGCCAAATCAGTTAGTGAACGTGAAATAAACACGCAATAAACAAGAATTTTCCAGCCTCTGTTTTCTGAGCTTTGTGGAACAATGCCAGGCTGTTCAACCATTAATCTCGACATTCTAAATCCAGCTTTCACAAAATACTTGGTTACACATTATGGTCTTCGTTTGGAAGAAATGTCATCAACAACGATCCGATTCTGCTGTTCACTCTACTATTCAACTCTTCAAAAACTCGTCATATCTGGTTATGACAAACTTCGTAAGAGTCTCACATCATTCTTTAACACAATTCAATATATTTAAGCATCTGTTTCTGCTCCTCCCGTACATTGTGGAGCAGAAGTTTGTGGTCAAGGAGCTATTGGTTGTCTTTTACATCAGGTTTCTTCGACAGAAGATGAGGAAGAATATGAAGAGGATGGAAATGAAGTAGAGGATGACTCTCAATATCATCTCAAGAGAAGACGTAGATTTAAAGAGCTTCTTTATGTTTCTGAAGAAGATTATGGTGTTAATGCAGTTCAGGTAAAATCTTAGAAGGCTCTTAAGCATCATAATATGATTCAGTTGGATTTTGATGACGATGTCGAGGACTTGACTATCATCACAACTACGCAGCTTCCATCTACTACAACAGCAAAGCCACTTGTTAAGAAACAACACAAAATCAAAAAACCAATTGAAACTCCTCATTGGCCTGAAAAGAAGAGCAATGTTACCAAAACGAATAGTACACTACCCTCACTTAAGTTGCCTTATGGAGAAGTAGACAAGAAGCGTGGTAGCAGTGTGAAAACAAAGAATGGAGTCAAGTATGCTGTCATCGACGAAGGTTGAAAACAAATTATTTCCTATCTTATCTCATATGTCTAAAGATTTTGAAGAAGATGATGATTACGAAGAAGGCGAAGAAACGCATTGTGTTTATCGCCATTTGAACGATGAGCTGTATCGATACTGTATGTTAGTACATCAAATGAAAGATGGAGAGAGGTATCTGAGTTTATGAATATCAAGCTGATACTTGTGTACCAGATGTTTCCATCATCGAGGACACACAATTTGTTGTTGTTTTGTTCCACCAGATAGAGAAACATGTGATCCCACTGAACCTGAGCTTACTCTTCCTCCTACTTCCAAACGTCTTCCATCAAAAATCCTCGTGACAGCGCCAAGTATACACTCTAGTGATTCTTAACTGACTAACTATTCTTTTATAGCATATACAGTAACTTCTCGACCCGTTGAAATATCAACAACGAGTACAACAACGACTACAACATCCACAACGACTACATCTACAACTCCTGCTCCAACAACAGCTATCAAAATTCGAACAAATCGAATATCGTATATGAATCGGAAAAGTCCGTGCAGAGCAGTCTATCATCGTTCCAAAACGAAAGGTGTTACAAGAACGATAGTGTGTGATCTTTCGTTTCAAAATAATTTTAATATTTTCATTGTTGCCATCTCTTTCTTGTTACAAGTGTTATTCTATAATTGACTATAAAGGGTTCGAACAAGCATAAGGTATGAGATATGTTCTTCTCTCCTATATACTGTACAGGAAAACAATAATGAATACAAATAAGGTTCAACTTAATAAAATTCCCTTTCTTAGAAAGGAAATGCAATCGTTCGTGAACGGTTTGGGATAGAATGCAATCTTTCGGTGCGTTTCATTCTGAACCGGACTTGTCCAGGTTCCATCCCTGTCTTGTGAGCCGATGAGCCTTTTCTTACTCTCTGGAGGAGCACCAGAGAGAGAGAGAGAGAGAGGAGTGGAGCTCACCGACATCGCCAACTGACGTGAATCAGTCGCATTAGGGCTTATATACCCCCGCGAAGACACGCGACACGTGAAAAAAATTTTGACGTTAAAAAAAAATGACCCGGTCGTTCTCTTTCGGGAAAACGACATAACTTTGATCAAACTGAATTAAATTGAAAGGTTTCTTCAGTTTTTTCATATCAAAATATCAATTCAAACTTGATGATGATGTTCATTCATT